AGTTTATATCTATTATATTGTTGAATCTGTATCTGGATTCTGTCTTCCACTAATCTACTTTTCTCATGCCAGTATTATACTGATATAATTATAGTGATTTTACAGTATGATCTGACATCTGGTAAGGCAAGTTTCCCCTCACTTTTTTATTTCCCCCAAAAGATCTTGTCACTCCCCCAGCCATATATATTTAACATCATATTATATAAATTAATGAACAAGCATACATCAGTTAAAGTTAAATCAATTAAGATAATTCCTGGAAGTACATTAAATTTGAGAACTGACCTTTTTTTATAATATTAATTTGTACTACACCAAAACAAATGTTTTCTCTTCTGTTTGATCTTGTATGTCCTTTAATAAAATTATAAAGTTTTATTTTTTTTAATTTGAAACTGTGCCTTTCTTGTTAAATTTACTACTAAATATTCTATATAGTGTTAGGTACTTTTTTGAGAATGGATTTTTTTTCATATTTCCCTTTTCAAGTATTTACTTGAGTATATTTTTTAAATTTCTATCTAACCATCTTATTGTATCATCTTATTAATTCTACAAGTCTTTTGGTCAAATCATCACAAGAAGAATATTTTAACCAGTTTCTTACTTCTATATGAACTTCCAAAAATACTGATTGTAATATTTATAGAAGCTAATCCATATTTACATCCTGATTTTGACTTAAATTGTTATAGTATTTCACCTTTTGGGAAAATAATTACTGTTTGTCCTTCGATAATAGGATATTTTACATTTAAGTAGTTTACTTATATTCCTGTTTAACATAGAGATTTTAATAAGAATAGCTAGCTGATTATAGTCATGCTTATCAATCTGTCATTGATTGGCTGTCTGACCTGGAGGCATCTCTGTATTCTTTAGGTATTATTAGGTATTATTCTTTTAATTAGGCCATAGGTATTATTCTTTTAACTAAATGATACATGAATTAGATACGCTAGTATTTCCTTTTGAATTTTGCATTTATATTCTTCAGTGAGGTTAGACTTTTTTTTTCTTTTATACTACTTCTAGCAGGATTAAGTATAAAACTATGCTAGATTCAATATAAAGTGAACTGAAAAAGCTTTACATACTTACCATGATCAAGAATAGCATAAAAGACAATGCTCTTCCCTATTTTTTATTTTTTTTATTTATTTTTTTAAAGATTTTATTTATTTATTTGACAGAGAGAGATACAGCGAGAGAGGGAACACAGGCAGGGGGAGTGGGAGAGGGAGAAGCAGGCTTCCCGCCGAGCAGGGAACCCAATGCAGGGCTCGATCCCAGGACCCTGGGATCATGACCTGAGCCGAAGGCAGACGCTTAACGACTGAGGTACCCAGGCGCCCCACTCTTCCCTATTTTTTAAAAGCTAGGTAACAATTACAAATCTAGTCATGGTGCATTGTTCTATGTACTCTAATTACCTTTCTTATCTCTTTTCTGGTAATGGCCTGTTAAAGTTTTATAATTATTCAATTTTAATAATTTATATTTCCTAAGACATTATTCATTTCATTGAGGTTTCACATGTTACCACAGAATTATGGTTGTATTATCTTATGATTAACTTATCTTGTGTCTATAGCTGGTGTCCTCTTCAATTTTAATCATATGTTTTTGATCATTTTTTTTCCCTTAATAATCAGGCTCTAAAGGAATTTTGCTATTTTCAAAGAATGATCACTTGGAACTTCTTTATTCTTTCTTCTTTTCAGTTTCTTTGATTCTGGTTTTTATCCATATTAATCCCTTCTTCTTGCCTTATTTTGATTATTCTATTGTTCCTTAACTAATTTATTATACTTGGCAAAGAATTATCTTACTGATGAACTCAAAAAAGTTTCAATAAGATTTGAGTCAAGGTAGTATAAAACTTAATAAAATGAGGTTATTAGGCTTGAAAAAGAACAAAGCCAAAGGAATCATCATCTCATATTTCAAGATATAGTACAAAGCTACAGTAATAAAAAGAGTATGGTACTGGCACAAAAATAGACACATATAGCTCACTGGAACAGAACAGAGACTCCAGAAATAAACCCATGATTATCTGGTCAATTATCTATCACATAGGAGGTAAAAAATACACCATGAGGGAAAGACAGTCTTTTCAATAAATGGTATGGGGAAAACTGGACAGCTGTGTGCCAAAAATGAAACTGGACCACTACCCACAAAAATAAATTCAAGGTGGATTAAAGACCTAAATGTGAGACCTAAAACCATAAGCCTCCTAAAAGAAAACAAAGGCAGGAATCTCTTAGACATTCACCTTAGCAACATATTTATTATGGATATGTCTCCTCAGGCAAGGGAAACAAAAGCAAAAATAAACTATTGGGACTGCATCAAAGAGATAAGAACTAAAAGCTTTTGCCAGCAAAGGAATTCACCAACAAAACAAAAAGGCAACCTCCTGAATGAGAGAAGACATTTGCAAATGATATATCCAATAAGGGGTTAATATCCAAAATACATAAAGTACTTATAAAACTCAACACCAAAAAACCAAACAATCCAATTTAAAAATGGGCAGAAGACCTGAAAAGATATTTTTCTACAGAAGACATACAGAGGGCAAACAGACACATGAAAAGATGTTCAACATCACTAATCATCAGAGAAATGAAAATCAAAACCACAATGAGATATCACCTCACAGAAGTCAGAATGGCTAGTATCAAAATGACAAAAAATAATAAGTGTTGGGGAGGATGTGGAGAAAGAGAATGCTCCTGTACTCTTGGTGGGAATGTAAATTGGTGCAACCACTGTGGAAAACAGTATGCAGTTCCTCAAAAAATTAAAAATAGAAATACCATACAATCTAGTAATTCCATGGCTGAGTATTTACTCAGAACAAAAACTAATTTCAAAAGATATATGCACCTCTATGTTTACTGCATTATTTACAATAGCAAAGATATGGAAGCAACCCAAGTGTCCACTGATAGATGAATAAAGATATACATACAATGGAATATTACTCAGCCATAAAAAAGAATAAAAACTTGCCATTTGTGACAACATGGATGGAACGAGAGGGTATTAATGCCGAGTGGAATAAGTGAGACAGATAAAGACAAATATATGATTTCATTTATGCGAGGAATCTGAAAGTTAAAAAAAAAAAAATGAACAAACAAAAACAGACTCTTAAAAACAAAGAACAAACTAGTGGTTGCCAGAGGAAAGATGGGTGGGAGGACGGGTGAAGTCAGTGAAGGGGACTAAGAGGTACAAACTTTCAGTTATAAAATAAATAAGTGATAGAGATGAAAAGTACAGCATAGGGAATAGAGTCAATAATATTGTAATAATGCTGTATTGTGATAGATGTTGACTATACTTAACCATGATAAGCATTGAGTAATGTGTAGAAATGTTGTGTACACCTGAAACTATAAAACATAGTATGTCACCTACACTTCAATTAAAAAAATACTATTATTAGGTGATGGGGAGAATACATGTCCCAGCTTTATCTCTATTTAGTCATATATGCCTTTTAGCAAATCATTTAACCTAAGCTCATGGTTTCTACAACTCTAAACTGAAGAGAGAATACTGTCTCAAGATTCCTGTTAGATAACAAATTACATCTGATAAAATTGATAAAATTTTAAGTTCCTTCTGAGAAAAGGAGTCTATTTGAAGGAATAAGAGACCTTGGAAAAACTGAACTGGAACTCATTGCCTTTAGAAATAATATCATCTAAGAAAATCCAGTTTTTCTATGACAGTGAAATATAATGGAGACTTATACTCATTCTATGAACACTCAGGTCATAATCAGGTGAACTCCTAAGATGTTTCACAAACATGAATGCCCTAGTAGTACAAGAGCTTCTTAAAGAAGATGCATCTTAGTTACATTGCAGAATGACAAGAGACAGGTTTAAAAAAAAAAAAAAAGTATCACATCATCATACCATATCCTCATATTTTTCTTAGAATAACCTGGGGTCAAATGGATTTCAGGCATTCCTACTGAACCCTCTGATGTTGCAAACAAAAACCTAGGTGTATTTAGTTAATTTTTATTGGGAGAATTAATCACACTGATAGATTTGCAAAGTGTTTGGGACCTGAGAGGTTGAAAAAGACTATTCTAGATTAGTAATTCAACTTCCTATCCTTAGTCTGTGATTAAAATTTTCAATGGTCATAATTTTGCTACTTCACCAAACAGACCTTTTCATTATTGGACAGTTACAACTAGCAAAAAACTCTCACTTACATCAAGTCAAAATCTGCCTCTAAAATTCTCATCTATTTTCTTGGTTTCAGTCGCTGAAGCATGAGAGAACAATTCCTTATTCCTGAAAATAGCCCTTTACATATTTGTAGGTAGTCAACTTAGCTCCAAGACATTTTCCTTTTTCAGAATGATAACTTTTTAGTAACATAGCATAATTCACTAATTCAAAATTTTCTCTAAAGGAAGATGATTTAACAACTCATGAAGACAGTATTTTATATTTTTAAAAAGCTCCACAGTGAAAGCTCACCTAATTCTTGACTGAGGGATAGATTGCTCTAAACTTACTTGTGAATTTCAAAAAGAATTCAGAGACAAGAACTGCATTACACTGATGTATGTGAACTAATGAATTCTGCAGAATTCTCACATACTTATTTGCTTCAGTAAATTCTTGGAAACTGTAACTCATAAATTCTTTAAAAATTATTTTTTAAACTATTGTCAAAATACTACTCATGGATGGATTTCAACCCATCTTCAAATTTTAGCCATAAGTCATTTTTGTATTTATTTTTATGATTCAGAAAGGATAAAGGCAGTAATATCATTTTTTAAGTGGTACTAAAAACAATATTTACATTAATTCTTTCAGGGGGAAAAAGGGAGAAAATATTAACAAAGTGAAGTATAACAACATACAAGGGAGAACAAATTCCAAAATGGTAAACCAAGCTGTATAAAACTCAGCACCAAAATTCAATAACTATACAAGAGAATTACTTACGGATACAATTCTGAAAGCTGTTCAGCTATTGCATAAGCTGTTGGGTCTCTGTCTAAGGCATACAGAGTAATATCTGACTCCTTCTGTAGAATGGCTCTTGTATGTCCTCCTGAACCAAATGTCATATCTAGAAAAGTCTAGCCAACACAAAAAAAGAAAATTACTACCTAGCATGAACAAAACATTCTTGCTAGCTACCTTAATTTCTAGAAGCACATATTGATTTTCAGAGCTGATAGCAATTGGAAAAACAATTAAAATTGTTTGCCTAGAGTTCAATTTGTTATACATGAGACCTGGATCAATTATGAGTGACCAGCCTGAAAGAAATGGTCAGAGTATCAGTAAAATGATAATCTCTGGCACAGGCTGGCCAATTCAAGACAAATTTACATTTTCCTCCAAAGGTCAAACTGGCCACAGTGTTATGCTGCTTGCTTTTTTAATGCTTTCCAGCACCTGGCTGATGATAGTATTTCCAACAATTTCTCATTATTTGGAGATAGCTTATAATTAGTATGGCTCACTTTATCTCGATTTCTCTAAATGCTTTATATGACACATGAAGATATTCAAGAATACAAAGAAAGAAGGAGAGAGAGAGAGGGAAAAAGAATGAATATACTTAACAATAAATAGTCACAGGACAAATCCTTAAAAATCTAAACTGGAAAAGGCTCAAGGCTTAAGTCAAAACAACTAGGGTAAATTCTAGGTTTGTCACAAAGTAGCTATCTATCTTTGGGAAAGACACTTAAAATTCCAGTGTTTTTAGATTTCCCAGGCTTTGAAAAGAAAAAGAAAGTCAGAAGAAAAGAAGATACCATCAATATCTACCTAATTGGTAAGGTGACATATAATTACTCATATAAACCAAGACACTTTTGAGAATATAACATCTGCCAGTAATAATTTTGCCAGGACAACAGGTTATGATGTACAGAGGTGGCTATTTTTCATGTCTAGATCATTCTAGGGAAACAGTAAAGCTAATTGGATTTGAATCTACTTCTTGGCTCTTTTATTGGGCCACACTATAAAGAAAATAGGTCTCAGTCGGGCAAGAAACCAGACCTGGACCATTAGAAACATACTTGTGAAAAAGTTAATTGATTGTGGTTGGTTGGGAAGTAAACACACTCTCAGTGTAGATTAATGTGTCCTTTCAATAAGCTTCACTGGCTTTATGAAAATAAAAATAATCATTCCAATAATATTGAATGCTATGAAAAATAACATATACCATAGAGCAAACTATCAACAATATTTAAACATACAACTTTTTTAAAGTTAATGCGTACATTGTACAAGAAGACAAATTCCTGAAATGGATTTGAACATTTCCCTGCCCTGAGGCTACAACTTATTTCCAGGAGAGTGGTCAGAAACAAGACACAAGTATGCTTTGATTCTTTGCTACCAGCTACCATGCTGAGTCCCATCCTCTGATCAAGTCCTCAAAAAAGTTAACCTGCTATTTGAAGAATAACATGGAGGAAATCTTCTGATCAAAACTGAAAAGAGGAGGGATATAAATTATGAGAGAGATGTAAATGTGCTGAAAACATGCAAGCACTGCTTTTTAACATGTATGTTAATACAACTCAAACTTGCACTTCTGTCATTGTCGGCACAAAAGACATGGCTATACACTCTTTTCAACACTATAAATGATAATGTTAAAAGAACACTTGAATTTCTTATTATTTTTCTTTTTAAGTAGCCCATCGTGAGGCTCGAACTCATGACCCCCAGATCACAACCTGAGCTGAGATTGAGTCAGACACTTAACCGACTGAGCCACCCAGGCCCCCATTCATATTACTTGCATGGTTATTAGGAGTACATACTTATAATCTCAAGATCGAGTAATTTCCTTTCTCAGTCTGTATACTTATTTTATGTATCTATGAATAGGTAAAAATCTCCCACCTTACCATACCTCAGTCTTAAAATTGCTAGGGGTTTATTTAGCATAATTTAAACAAAGAACTTCTCCAAGGCAAAAGTATAAATTACTTTCTTGTTATGCCCCAATATCAAGTCTTGCTATAATCCTACACTTAAACTAAGAGTATAGCAAATAAAACAATTTGCATATGATTACCTTATCCCAAGCCAGGAAAGTCCCAATCAATAATTAAAAAGAAAAAACCTCATCATTAAAAATATTCTGGAAAATGTAAGATGATGATTATAATTTACATGATTATTTTTTAATATATCACGATTATGCCCTTGGAGATGTACTGACAATCAAGGAAGTTTCCATAGGAAAAAAAAATAATTATTACCAGTCAAGTGTAACACAAAGCAAAATGGGAGACATGGGATTTATAAAACTACAAGTGAACCCCATCATATGTCCTAGCTCAATAGGTTATTGAAGCCATCAAGTAGAATTTTGAAAATTCTAATATACATTGCTCATCAATGTAGGTCTTGTGAATCAACTAGCACTACAACTGAAAAGGGAGCCAATTAGTCTCTCCCTTTTCCTGGGTCATTAACTTGATATAAGACCACATTTTTAAATTTGTATAAGCTGACGATAAAATAAGACTGAACAAATGCACAAGAACAAATCTGAGTGTCACAAAACAATGCTTCCATGGGTCTCATCTGCATGTATGTATGTGTATTCATATGTATATGTTATGTTCCAAACATACATGGAACTCTCTCTTTAAAATTACCTGATACAATTTATCTAAAACATGAAACCCATATTTGATACCAAGAATTTATTCTGACAATGTCACTTCTCACCTGTACAATCCTGACCAAATTATTTTAACTCTCTGAGCCTCAACTGTTTCATCTAAGAAAAGGGGATAAAATGTACCCATTTACTTCACAGAGATATATAAAAATTATCTTATTTCTTCCTTACAACCACAAAGTAGGTGTTATCAGATTTATACATATACAGAAACAAAAATTACACTAAGCTAGTAAGTGGCAAATGCAGGAACTGAATGAATACAGATATACCTGGCTCTCTTCTGCATTAAATCAACAAAGTTTATATTAGCCCAATACCTTATAGTTTATCGAGCATTTACGTTTTTGTACTTGGTCTAACAAAAGTTCTGTAAGTATGGACAAGTGGCATCATCCCCATTTTTGCAAGTACAAAACTCAGGTGCAGAGAGATAAGGTGACTTGATTAAGATCCTATTACTAGCAAGTGAGGGAAAGAGAACTCTAAACCATGTGTCACCAACTCTAATTTTGTGCCTTTTCTGAAAAAAATAAAAAGAGAAGAAGGGAGGAGCGAGCAAAAGAAAGAAAGAAAAAAGTGGATGGCATAGAAAGAATCATGGCAGAAATAGCTTTACAAAAATTATACAAGAAAACTTCAGTTTTTTTATAGACTACTCATTCCCACTGGAATTGAGGCTCTCAGAAACCACGTCTTAATCTTTGTGTAGCAGGACAACTCGAGATATGTGTGTTTCTCTCTTTTTTTCTTTCTTTCCTCCCTCCTTCTATTTCAAGCAGGAGTCTAGATATTTAGAGCTTTAGAATGTATGTTCCTTGAGGATTTTTGCATGACACAAAGAAAAAAAGTATCTTTCCTATCATCTGGAGACAAACACTTTTCTATCAGTTAATATTAAAGAAAAAAAAAAAAAAAAGCTCAGAAAGAATGCTAGTTATCCTGGGTAGGTTAGTGTCTTTAAGGAAAAGAGAGATAGATCTCACTGAAATTGGGTGGAAGAGAGATGGGAATGATGAACAAATTCCAAGAAGGTACAGAACTAATGAAATGACTGACAGATGATAAGATCTCAAAGCAGCTGTCTGTATGAGGAACTGAAGGAGGGTGGACGCTCAACACAGGGTTCCCAGAGCTACCAGAGATTTCCATACCCCTCTTTGGCACAGAAGCAGAACTTTTGGTCCTAGAGGGCCTTTATTACAACAAAAGGCATCTCAGGGCGAACTAAGGGTGGTATGAGATGAGTAATACCTCAGGGCCTCTGCATAGCTCATGTAGGGTAAAAGGGGAATGACTGAGATTGATAAAGAAAAAATATACATTTGAGGGAAGATTCATAACTACAATTCTCCAACTCTGCCTCCACCTTAACAGCATCAGGGCACAGTAGTAGATGCTTAGTAAATATTTAGTGATGTGATATGAAAACAGAGCTCAGCTTCCCAAGGTAACTATGATAAAGATAGCAATACTCTACTGTGCATATGAATTTAGAAATACTCCTCAAGATACAAGACTCATTATCATAAGACCACATAAAATAGTCACAGGACATCCAACTTTTAGGAGTCATTTAACATCAATATATTCCTAATATTACAAGTTGTTTCATTAATGAAAAGAACTTTTTCAGAATATTAATGATGATCTGATATTAATAGTATTATGCAACTCTAATGCACCATGTTCTTATTTGTTGATCAGAATCCTTTACATTTGAAATAAGAAAATGAACATTTCTTATTTTAGGTAGCTCTTTTAATCAAATACAGCTAATTGACATTTTATCCCCATGGTCTACTAAATATAGAAATGGTTAGGTTCTACCTTGTACCATGATGAGTCACACTTGCATAGTTAAGCTACAGCTGTGAATCTGATAATGAACAGGGTTCAGATGCAGAATTTCAGAGCTTCGAGGGACATAACACACTATTTATTCCATGTCCTCATTTTACTTATGAGGAGACCAAGGCCCAAAAAGGTAGCTAGTTGAGGGCAGAGCTAATACTAAAACATAAATCCTATGTTCTTTCTACTTCATCTCATAATATTCCTCCACTGAAATTATATAATCACACTGAAATAACCAATCATTCTTTGAAAAAGTTTTTTTTTTTTCTTAACGAAAATAAATATATATGTGGGAACTCCGCACCGTTAAGCCTCCGACACAGTTGAAAACAATCACTATCCTACCATTCTAAATTGTTTTATGACTTTATGGCGATAAATCTGTTGGCTTCAATTCGAAAGACAATTATGTTGTATATGTGGCCTCAGATAAATATCCACCCATTATGTATAATAGCAACTGGTGGTGACTGACTTCTTGACAGGTTACAGTTTTCAAATTGACCTTGAAACTAAAAGCAAAAAATTAAAATACTTAAAATCATAGACCCATGGGTA